GGAAGGAAGGAAGGAAGGAAGGAAGGAAGGAAGGAAGGAAGGAAGGAAGGAAGGAGAGAAGGGGAGGGAGGAGGAGGCAGAAGAGGAGTTAGGGGAGGGAATGGAGGGAGGGGAAAAAGGAAAGAAAAAGAAAAGAAAAAGGCTGATATAGTTGCATTGATAGAGTACTTGCCCAGCATACACAAAGCCCTGGGTTTGATTTCCAGTACCTCATAAATCAGACATGGTAGTGAACACCTACAACCCAATCCCAGCACTAGGGAGAAAGAGGAAGGAGAATCAGAAGTCCAAGATCATCCTTGGCTACATGAATTCCAAGCCATCCTGGCATACAAGAGACACTGTCTCAAAAGAGAAAAAAGAAAAAAGGAGATAAAAAAGAATAGACCTTAGAAGATAATTCAGTTGGTGAAAGTGCCTTTCATGCAAGCATGAGTTAAGATCCCTAGATGTGCTAAGATCCCTAGATGTGTTAAGATCCCTAGATGTGCTACCACATCTGACCCACTAAGAGTCAGATGTGGTAGCACACATGTACACATGTTGAACCCCAGAGATCTCACAGCAAACTAGTTTATGCAAATCAACTAGCTCAGAGTTCAGTGAGTAACCCTGTCTCAGAAAGAGAGAGAGCCATTGAGAAGGACACCAAACATCAGTCTCTGACCTCTGACCTCTACATGCTGCATGCATATGTGCACACACCCACACAAACACATAGACACCAAACACACACAGTCTCTCTCTCTCTCCTCTATTCTTGTACATCCTGTGCATCAAAAAACTAACAATGCTGATGACTTCTTCCTCTTCTTCATATTTAATCTGTCAAGACCCATTAATTAACCCCTTCAGACCATCCACAATGAAAGCCGTGTAAACTCTGAGATCTCTGCTCAGCTATCAAGGAGCCATGGCGTCTTTCCTTCTCACTGCCCTGAGTTCATGTCAGAGACAGTCCCTGTTCTGGACTCTTTAAATCAACCACCTAACCTTAGCATGAGGCTCTCTGCTATCAACTGTTAGAGCGGTGAGGATGTGTGAGCCCAGGCTATAGCTTGTAATAAAAAGAGCCTCAAAAAACTAATTAATTAATTAATTAATTAATTAATTAATAAAAAGATCCTCATGTGTTTTGCAGCAGAGTCGATTCCTGGTAGTCTTTGGGGGTTCTCAAGAACTGGGCATAACAGAGGCAAGGACACTGGCCACCTAAGGCTATTAAATAGTCCTCCTGTACCAAAGGAAATTTGAAAATCTTGAAAGATCAATGTGATAACTTGGGTGGGATATTAAAATACACTATATATATTGACAATTTCATATGCATATGGAATTGTGACATTCATATGCATATATGAAATTGTCAAAAAATACTTTTTTTTTTGAGACAGTATTTCTTTGTATACCCATGGTTGTCCTGAAATTCACTCTGTAGAACAGACTGGCCTTAGACTCAGAGATAAAACTGTCTCTGAGTCCTACTAGAATTAAGGAGTGCACTACCACTGCCTGACCACAGAACACATTTTTAAAAATACTCTAAAGAAGAAGTGCTAGCTAACGCAAGAGTCAGTGGAGAAAAAAATGCTGACGATGAAAGGGGAAGAGAAACAGGTCCCAAATCCAAATGACACCTGGAAGAGCAGGGAAAGGAGAAGTGTGCAATGAGAACCTGAAATAGAGTCACCAGGGAGGGATGGCTCAGGAGAGGTCTCTCAGGAGGCCTCATCCAGAGACACAGAATAACATCAGCTGGGAGCAAGTATACAGGAGCCACTCCAGCAGAAGGCTGAGGAAGTGTGAACAGAGAACACAGTGACTTAGTCCTCAGATAACAACACAAGCTCTAAAGATGGTAGCTGGGGACCTGAGATGTAGTTCAGTTGGTAGAGTACTTGCCTGGAATGCAGGAGTACACTGGGTTTGATGCCCAGCATCACAGAAAACAAGACATAGATATGCTGCATAGCAAGTTCAAGCACCACCTGAGAAAAACCCTGTCTCAAATAGTTAATAGATAGATAGATAGATAGATAGATAGATAGATAGATAGATAGATAGATAGATAGATAGATAGATGGATGATGGATGGATAGATAGATAGATAGATAGATAGATAGATAGATAGATAAATGAATGAATGAGGAAGGAACCTAATTAGGCAACAAACAGAACCAAAAAGCCTAAGAGATGAAAAGAACAGGATTTGAAAGCATGCTAGTTTTATCTTTGTGAGTGGTTAGTGCCTTTATATTTGCTCCCAACATTTCCAAAATACCACAGTTTTTACATCTGAAAGGAAAGGGCTTCTTCCTTTACAAAACCATTGCCTCAAGTGCCACTATTGGCTGTGATCTGATCCCCACATTCTGTCTTTTCCTGGAACAGAATCATACAACCTACAAAAATTAAAAAAGATCAATAAGTTATAAAGCTTTAGGAGATGGAAAAGCACTGCACATGAATAACTATAACACTAATTAACCTTGACTAAGGTATTCTGCAACCTCGATAACCTTCAGGATCCCAGGGTACCTTAAACTGAGACTATGGAAGACTGATTCTCTTATCAATGATGAAATTCCTTAATGGCAGTGGTTTATTATGGGGCCTACCTATTTCACTTGGAGAAAATAGAAACACCTACTCACAGACCTTTTCCACCTCCTTCTCCTCTTCATTTAAAAAACAATTACATCTATATATATATAGTATCGTAGTGTGTGTGGATGCATGTATGTAGAGTTCGGAGGACAACTTTCAGGAATTGGTTCTCTACTCTACCATCTAATTACCAGGGACAGAACTCATGTCATCAGGCTTGGTAGCAAGCACCTTTACCTTGCTGAGCCATTTTGTCAGCACTTCTTTTTGGTTGTTGTTTTCCTTTTTTACAGGACTAGTGATTAAACCTGTTTGCCAATAGGCAAACACTGTACCTCTATGCTACATCCCCAGCCCTATTTCTAGTGACTCACCTAGACATTCTTGTGTGCTCTTTACAGAGATTCTCCAATCTGTTCCTCTCCTACTTTCCACTGGGTTATTTTTTGGGGGTGAGGGATGGGGTTCTCTTTTTTTTTTTAAGCCTTACTCTGATTTGGATTCTTTATAAGTCATGTTGAAGATGTGCATATAGTTATGAACCAGCTTTACACCATTAGTATGTTACCTAACACAGTGTCTTGCTACTTGCTCCTGCAGCCTCTGTCACTACAAATCAAAATGGAACCCTCCTGACTGGCTTTCAGGTCTCACCTCATTCATGACCCTAGCTAGCTGGACTTTCCTGATGGATTCCAACCTGCGCTTTCTACCTAAGCTACGAAAGTCCAATGCTAATGGCTCCTCCACTCTCCCACCATACTGCCACACAGAGACTACTTCTAAATTACATTTCTAAAAAGGTTCTCTTCCTATTTCACCACAAAAATCCATGATTTGGGGGCACCATCCACTTCTTATTGCCTTATAATTAATCAGTTCCTTTTAACAAATAAATCAGTTACATATTGTTAATTCATTCCCCATACCCCTCCAAAGGTGTTCACATTCTAGTTCTTGGAACCTAAGAACCTATGACTTTTTGTGACCCAAGGATTTACAAATGTCATTATGTTAAACTTCCTGGAAGTAGAGGGGGCTTTCTTGCTGTGTCATGACAGGACAGGAAGAAGAAAGAAGTGGAAGGCTGAACTCATCATTTCTTTGGAATTCACATGCCATAGATGTTTATTCTGGGTAATGAGGGTGAACCCACATAATCATGTGGAACCCTGACAGAGGAATGAAGGACAACATCAGAAGTGAAATGATAGCAAAGTGGATATTACAGACAGACTAAAAGATGCTAAGCTTCTGGCTTTCAATATGGAGGGTGTATTCATGAACAAGCAACCTCTAGAAGGTGAAAAAAAAGCACTCTCTCCTATAACTTAAGAAACACAGCCTGTCAACTCACTTTAAATTTCCGACCTACAAGTCCAAAAGGGAGGAAATCTGTGGTGTTTCTGTGCAAGAAACTTATTAAAGCAGCAACAAGAATCCATTGCTGTCCTTTTTGTACCTCTGTCAACCAAAGGGAACACTATCCATTTCATAGTGTTGTTACAATGATTTCAGGAGGCTATAGAAGTTGAATGTCCATCTTTTATAAACAAGACAAAGCAAAAGCCCTCAGTATGTGGAGGCCTCTAGGAACTCAGAATCGAAGACTAGCACAAGCAAGAGATGCATACCCAAGGCAAGTAGAAAAGAAATCTGCAAGTAGAAAAGAAAATGAACTCTGATGGGCCAAGAAGGGCAGGCACCATGTAAAGGCCAAGTAAGGGAGACAAGTACGCTGTTCTTTTAGGGACAATTAAAATTATCCTTTTAAATAACTAGAATTTAACTCCTTAGGAAAAGTTCAGAGTCTTTTAAATTTCAAAGTCAAAGGTAACATACAATAGCATTTCACACATGCTTTATTTTGTGGGAAACTGGTCATTAGTAATTCTAATATAATTAGTAATACAAATAGATTTTTTAAAAAAGACAAGGTCTCATATAGCCCAGGTTGGCCTCAAACTCCCTATGAGTAGCAGAGGAGCACCTTAAACTTCTGATTTCCCCTATTCTAATTCCTGAGTGCTAGGATTGCAGGTGTGCACCACTATGTCTAGTTCATGCAGTGCTGGGGATAGAACCAAGGGCTTCATTTATGTTAAGCAAGCACTGTACCAACTGAACTACATACCCAGCCCAAAGGAATATTTTCTTCTTCAGGCATTCCATGCTATTGATTTCAAGCAGAATAACATGGCCACAGAAGCCCAGAGCACTTGGTCTTCCCGGAGGTGGGGGTGGGTGGTAAAAAAAAAAAAAATTATGTCTGTCCAAAGATCAAGTAATTGACCAGAGAGGTGCTACTTAACCTTTGACTCTTCATTTTTCCATTACCAACCTTGTACCTGTCATTCTTTCCCCCCTGCTTGCATTTCAAAACCCACTCTTTTGAACACACCCTGCATTTATGGCATGTTTCCATACATCGTTAGTTAATGTTTCATGAGATTATTAGCAGATTTTGCATTTCTAGCTGCTGGGTTACCCTCATGCTTTTGAGTACAAAAATAGAGAAAAATATGACACCACTAGAGGAGATGCCACTGGAAGAGATAAGCATGCAAAAAGTATGAAAACAACCACAGGGTATTTTTCAAGTTCTGACAGGAAGCATTAGGCCATTTTAAGCAAAGATCTTCCCTTGAAATGAGGGATATGTAGACTAAATGACTGTTTGCCTATACCCTTTTAACAATGATCCTTAGAATATGAATTGTACATATTTTATTCTTATCACAGCATATATGTCACATGATATAAGTTACATATGTCATATGAAATGCCATATAATCTACTGTTACTTGGATTACATGCAGTGATTAAAATCATTTTTCAATATAGGCCTAAGAAATATGATATCAACCTCCCATCAACTTTAGCACCGATATCATCATTTGAGAAAACAGATGGTTTAAGGTGAAATATTTCAACAACTAAGGAAGTTGAAATACAGGCTGTAATAATACCATTGAGTTTACATAGAAAACAGTTTTTGTCCTTAGGAGACCTAGGCCAAGGGATTTGTAGGTAAACCAGTCAAACTTCACAACTCAATTCTCCAATGACTGATGAGGGGAAAAGTATTGGCCCAGCAATACTAGGCCAATGTGCAACTGTGGAAATGTTAACTGTAAAGAGCCTACTCAAAAGGTACACTGATATATTATTTTTGCCACTTTGCTTTCGATGTAAAACAAAACAAAACAAACCTTAAAGACGTTGGAGTGGGGCAATCAATCATAAGGACTGAGGAGGACTAGGAAGGAGTTCAAGGGTAGCTTCAACTACAGTAGGAGCTGGGATAAACAAAGAGATTCTGTCTCAAAAAAACAACACTAACAAAAAAAGACATTTGTGGGAAAACTATAGTTCTTCCTCTGACTGTCTGAAAAGCTCACTTCCTCCTAAGAGACTAGAATGTACATGCAAAGCAAACAAAACAACAAAAACACGGAAAATTTTCTAAAACCTTTTTTAAAACATTGCCAAAATCAGAATATTGTTGTGTAAAATCATCAACTAAAAACAATGCCAGTTGGACATGGTAGCACACAACCTGTAATCCCAGCATTGTTGAGGTAGAGACAGGGGGATCAGGAATTCAAAGGGAAACTTGGGCAGACTGGGCCACATGAGAGGCCCTGTCTCCAAAAATAAACAAAAAATATGGAGTTTGGAGATATAACTCAGTGTGTTAGAGCACTTGTCACAAATGCTCAAGGACCTGAATTTGGATTCCAATACCCTGAAACCCCAGCACTATGAGGGTGGGGAGCAAATAGGAGGTTTACTGGACTTGCTGGCCAACAACCTAGCTCAGGTTCCATGACAGACTCTATCTCAAGAGAATAAGGTGGAAAACTGATAGAGCAGGACACCTGACATCTTACAGACCTGTACACACATGTACAAATATATGTAACACACACATAAACACACATGCTAGATAGGCAGACCTACCTACTGACACACTGACCTACAATCAATTCTAGCAACTCCAGTAAGTGGGTTAATACATAAGTCTGTACTGGAGTCAGATGAACTGCAATAAAATAGCCAAAACCTATGGAATGATTAATGCTCAGGAACGACCAGAATTGTGTAAGCAATAGCACAACACTTCATATTTGTTTTTAACAACTGAGTCATCTTTCCAGCCCCCTATTCTGTATTTTTAAAAGCCATGTAATACTGTCTCCTCTGTGACAGACTTTTTTTTTTTTTTCAAGCCTAAATCTGCATTTCCATTGCTTTCAGCAATGTGAGCTGTAAGCAAGCTCAAAATTCTGTATTAGAGGGAAATTTAGTCTAAAGGAAAAGAAAATCCAGGTTTTACCCTTGGGACTCTAAACCATTAAGCAATTGTTGAAGTAGCTCTTTACTGGAGCTTGCCCTTAATTGAGAGTCTTAAGTTTGGTTTCAGAAACCATTAATCATTACCCTTAAATAGTAAACAAAAGGGAGTTTCATAATCAGGGTGGTGTGTCATAAAGACTATAAAAGAGCTCCTTCTCAGCTCTCCATCCACTATCACCTGTTCCTGTTCTACTCTTTCAGCGGTTGCACTGACTGGTAAGCAGGTCAGTATGATCTTAACATGCCCCACTAGCTTGTGGGTGCTGGGGATGGAGCCCAGAGCTTCCAGCAGATTAAGCAAGTGCTCTACTAACAGCTATGTTCCCCAGCCCCTAACCTGGATGTTTTTAAAATACACTGGAAACCAATAATGCTATTTCCACCTATCCCTCTTTTCCTCTTCCTTTTCTTTATTCTCCCCCTTGTCTTTCCAAGAAAAAGGGACAATGTGGGAAACAGTAAATCCGTCTTGCTAACACTTGGTGTAAAAGCTCTCCTTCAGTTTCAGGTTTTTTGTTTTGTTTTGTTTTGTTTTGTTTTGGTAAATCTGTCTTTTGTTTTGTTTTGTTTTGGTAAATCTGTCTTCTTCCCAGTTTACAGGACAGCAGAATGAGTACTAAGAAGTCTCCAGAAGAAATGAAGAGCATTTTTCAAAAATATGCAGCCAAAGAAGGCGATCCAAACCAGCTATCAAAGGAGGAGCTGAAGCTGCTGATTCAGTCTGAATTCCCCAGTCTCCTGAAGGTGAGTGGCACACCTGGGCAGAGGGTGGTAGCTGCCTCTGGTGGTGAGAAAGGAGCATAGATGGCTGCGAATGCTACTGAAATACTGACCTCAGCTCTGCGGAGACAAGGCCACATAGAACACAGGACCTAGCAAAAACTAAATAGGCACTCTATCACTGAGCTACAGCCACAATCCACGTGACTTTTGTGTTTGGTAGACACACACACATACACACACAGAGCTAAAAATATTAACATTACAATCTGATGTTTCCTAATTTTCTTATAATTCAAAATAACTGTATGTGTTGCTGGGACTCGAACCCAAGACCTCACACATGCATGTGGAGATTTATTGCATAATAATAAAGTACATATACTTAACACTACAGAACTGTCCACATACAAAATGGTTGGATGAGGGCTGGAGAGATGGCTCAGCAGTTAGGAGCATTTACTGCTCTTGGAAAAACACCCATGTTTGGTTCCCAGCAGATACATAGCTGCTCACACTATCTGTACCTCTGTGTTCAGGAGATCCAATGCCCTCTCTGGCTTCTGTGGGCACCAGTTACACATAGCACATATTCACACACGCAGACAAAACACACATACTTATAAAAAAAATTTTTAAATCTTTAAAAATAAATAAATAAACAAATCTTTTAAAAATGGTTACATGATAAATTGTTAGAATTTCATCATTTTGAAACAATATCTACGTAGCCCAGGTTGGCCTAAAACTCACTGTGCAGTCCAAGCTAACTCCAAACTTAATGCAATCCCCCACTTTAGCGTCTTAAGTAGTTGAGACTACAGGTTTGAGCTACCAGATCCAGTATGAAGAATGTTTTTAAAGAAGTTTAGATCTCATAAAATACATCAGAATGTAGATTATTACTACTAAATAATAACAATAAATGTGCTATATAACGTTAACATGTTGTAACCTGAGGGAGGTGGCTGGAGAGCTGGCTCAGTGGTTAAGAACACATGATGCTCTTTCCAAAAGTTCTGGACTTAGATCCTAGCACTCAGGTCAGGTAACTTAGAACCACCAGTAGCTCTAGAGGATTTGATGGCCTTTGAGGGCAACTGTACTCACATGTCCGAGCTCACACATAGGTGCACACAGACACACATAAGAAAGTATTTCATGAAGTGGGAGGGGCAAGTATTGTAGTGCACACATTCAATCTGAGAACTCTTGAGATCACTGTTAAGTTCAAGGCCAATCTGAACATAGTGGGTTTCAGGCCAGTCAAGGCTACATAATGAGACTCGGTCTCAAAGATAAATAAAATAAAAAAGAAAGAAAGATAGAACCCAGTAATGTGACATTAAGACCACTATTACAGCTAAAGCTGGTTTCATCACAAATACCATCATATTGTCAGTGGTATGTGACTGAAACTTAGGTTGCCTTCTTGGAAGAAAAATCCAGTGCCTCTCATTTCTGAAATGTGTTGCAGTATCTTATCTAAAGTTTCTTCCTTCCCCTATCCCATTCTTTTTGTCTAAAACCAGGGTGTGAATACTCTAGACAGTCTCTTTGAAGAGCTGGATAAGAATGGCGATGGAGAAGTTAGTTTTGAAGAATTCCAATCATTGTTCAAAAAGATGTCACAATGAAGACGCCATGAATAAGAAGCCCGAACACCATCTACTGATTGAATTCTTTGCTGTTATAGAGTCTAGCTGTTAATAAAGCAAATTCTGAGACATGGCTTTCTTGTCAAGTGCTGACTCTTGATTACTTAGACTTTCGAGTAACTTGTTTTGTTTTGTTTTTTCTGAATTTTTTGCTTTACATTTATTTATTTAGTTTGTGTTTATTGTGCACGCATACATGTGAGCAAGTGCACAGACCAGCAAGTCACAGAACATGTGTGGTAGTTAAAAGACAACACATAGAGAAGGTTCTCTCCTAACATGTGAAGCTGGGGGTCAAACTGTGATTGTTAGACTTGGCACTAAGTATCTTTTCCTTCCCGAGCCATACTATTGGCTTGTTTCACCTGCTTTCAAACTTAAAAAGAAAAGTCATCAGGCCCTAATTAAACTCAGTAGGTCATACACACCAAAATACGACATGAAAGTAGAAGGGGATTTACTGGAAAGATAAGTTTCAGTGGGAAAAGAAAGAGGGGATAAGATAGGCGAATGGAGGGCAGTGAAAATGACTAAAAGTAGCCATCTACATGTATAAAAACCATCAAGAAATTAAACATTATTTTTTAATTTTAAACATAAAAAATTTTAAATATATATTGCCAGGTATGGTGGCTCATTCTTTTAATCTCAGCACTTGGGAGGTGGAAGCAGAAGAACTGAGTTCAAGGTCATACCCAGTTACACAAAGTTTAAGGTAGCCTTGGCTACATGAGACCCTGTCTCACAAAAATGTTGTTATTGCTTTTTTAAAGATTTATTCATTTTTATTGTGTGTATTTGCCTGCCTGTAATATCTGTCTACCACCTTCATACCATGCTTGTGAAGGCCATAATAGGCATCGGATTCCCCTGAAATTGGAGTTAGAGACAGAAATGAACTGCTATGAGAGTGGATGGAACTGAATCTGGGTCCTCTGCAAGAGCAGCAAGTACTTTTTAAAGTGAGGCTGGGCACATGTGGTTGGCACAAATTAGATTTTAGATATATATAAAGGAAGACATGAAGTTCTACATGTCAGGAAGGGTAAGGTTTTGGGAAAAGTTAGAGAGCAGCTAGGATCTAGACACAGTGCCATATACATACCCAAAATGTGTACAAGTTGTCAAATGATAGGGGTTTTTTTTTGTTTTTTTTTGTTTTTTTTTTTTAGAAAAATAAGCATGGAGTTAAAGATACCTCAGAGGTTAAGAGTTCTTGCAACTAATACAGAAAACCCAAGTATGGTTCCCAGCATCCCCATGCTGGCTCATAACCATCTATAATTCCAGTTCCAGGGTATCTAATACTCTCTTTTGTTGCCTGTGTGTACCAAGCACACATATATGCATGCAGGCAAAATACTTGCACCTATTAAAAATAAATAAAAATTAAACTGTGCTCTACACATAAATATTTATAAGGAAAAAAATGGGTCTAAGGAGGTAATGTAACAAATTACTAAAGATCGCTAGCCTAGTGTACATAAGACCCTTCGTTCTATTGCTGGCACCACCAACTTCTGCAAATTGTCCTCTGACCTTCACCAGTCTCATGTGATACCTGTAGGAGCACTCACACAAATGCACACACAAAATAAATAAATGTTTAAAAGCTATACTCCTCAATTAAAAGAAAATAATTTTTAATTGCTGAGTCACTGATCTTTATAATAAGCCTCTCTGCCCTCCCTCCTCCCAACTGTCAGAAAACAAATTATCTTAACTTTGAAAGTAGAGTATACTTCTGATTTTGGAGGAAAGAATGTGATTATAAAAACTTCCCCAATAATCAGACTTCATTGAAATCTATGTTGTATGTATTTAAAAAAATTAAGCAGCAAGTAGAAACACTTGCTGTCAAGCCTGATGAGTTGGGTTCAATCCCCAGGATCCATATGCTGGTGGGAGGGAACTGACTCCAGACTCCCACACACAGAAAAGCACTAAGTAAATAGACAGGTAAGTAGGGAGGGAGGGAGATTGGCTGGTTGTTGGTTGATAGATAAATAATGAAGCAGCAGAAGAAAATAAAAAACAAAAAAAGCAAACAATGCTTTTAAAAAAATGAGCCAAACACCTATAATCGCAGGATTTGAAAGGTGGAAGCAGGACCATCAGGAGTTCAAGGTCATCCTTGGCTACATAGCAAGTTGGAGGCCAGCTGAGATTATATGATACTTTGTCCTCAAAAGCCAAATTAAAAATATTAATTAAAAAATAATTAAGCACCCAGGCAGTGGTGACATACACCTTTAATTCCAACACTTGAAAGGCAGAGGCTGGGAGATCTCCAAGCTTGAGGGCAGCCTGATCTATAGAACAACTTCCAGGACAGCCAAAACCAAACAGAGAAACTCTGTCTCAAAAAGAGAAAGAGAGGGAAAACTGGGCAAAGGCATGCAGATCTGTGAGTTTAAGGCAGGCCGGCCTGGTCTACAGACCCAAGTTCCAATACAACCAGGACTACAAAATGCAGCTGCCTACAGAATGGGAAAACATTTTCACCAACTCTACATCTGACAGAGGGCTGATATCTAAAATACATAAAGAATTCAAGAAACCAGACATAAACAAACCAAAGAGCCCAATTAAATATGGCGTACAGACCTAATCAGAGAATTCTCAACAGAGGAATCGCTAATGGCCTAGAAGCACTTAACATCCTTAGTCATCAGGGAAATGCAAATCAAAACGACGCTGAGATTTCATCTTACACCCATCAGAATAGCTAAGATAAAAATCTCAAGCAACAGCTCATGCTGGTGAGTATGTGGAGCAAAAGGAGCCCTCCTCCATTGCTGGTAGAAATGTAAACTTGTACAACTACTCTGGAAATCAATCTGGGGCTTTCTCAGAAAATTGGGAATAGATCTATCTCAAGTCCCAGCTATACCACTTAAGGGGAAATATACCCAAAATATACCACAACAATACTTGCTCAACTATTTTCATAGTAGCTTTATTCATAATAGCCAGAAACTGAACAACCTAGATGTCCTGAGAACTGAAGAATAGATAAAGAAAATGTGGTACGCTTACACAATGGAGCTATTAATTAAAAACAGCTATTAAAAACAAGGACATCATGAAATTTGCAGGCAAATAGATAGAACTAGAAAAGATCATCCTGAGTGAGGTAACCCAGCCCCAGAAAGACAAATATGGTATGTACTCACTTATAAGTGGATTTTAGTCATAAAGTATAGGATAACCATGTTGCAAACTATAGACCCAAAGAAGCTAAGTAACAAGGAGGGACCAAGTGGGGATGCTTAAATCTCACTGAGGAGAAATAGATTAGACATCAGGGATGGAGGGAGGAAGGGAACTTGGTGGGGGAGGCGGAAGAATAGGAACCAGAAGAGTCAGGGTGGAGGGAGGACTGAGGGAGAGAGTATTGGAAGAGAAAACTGGATTGGGGGATATCATCTCTAGGACAAGCTAGAAACCTAGGACAATGGAAAGAATCTATGAAGGTGACCATAGAAGATTCCTAGTAATGGGGTATATAAAGCCTGAACCGGGCATCTCCTGTAACCAGGCAAGACTTGATAGAAAAATTGGGACTAACTCCCAGACTGAGATCCTAAGTAAGTCTGTGATAAGCAAGAAAAGGGTGAAGAAGGGAAGCAGCATTTCCACTGGGTTTTATACCTAGTGTCCCGATGCCTAGAGAGGGGTATGTGGGGAAGAGGTAGCAGAGAGCATTTAAAACAGAGAAAAGCAGTGAGATGATGGGTCAGTGGGCAAAAGAATTTGTCACACAAGCTTAGCAACCTGAGTTCAATCCCCAAAACCCATGTAAAGAGATGAAATGAAAATCAACTCCACGAAATCATGCTCATGCACAAATAATACAAAGGGAGAGAGCTGGGCCCAGTGGTGCATGCCTGGAATCCCAGTACTCAGGAGGGCAGAAGCAGGTGGATCTCTGTGAGTTTGAGGCCAGCTTGGTCTACTGAGTGAGTCGAGGACTGCCAAGGCTACACAGAGAAACCCTGTCTCAAAAATAAAAAATTAATTAAAATAAAAAATAAAAAGGGGAGAGAGAAAGAAAAGAAAAAAACCCAAGCAAACACTTTATGATCAATTTACAAGGCTATTCCAGGAACACACGTGCTTTGTCTTTGCTAGATACAAGGAGAGAGGGCACCCTGACTTCAGATCATCAGAGTCCATGTGTGCTAATCCAAGGTCAGAAAGGAAGAAGATGCCAAGAGTCACAGACTAATCAGGACTGTGACTCAGTGGCAGATCACTTAGTCCACAAGCATGATGATCTAGGTTCCTTTCCCAGTACTGCCAAAACAAAAAGGAAAGAATCACAAAGTAACATGCATGCTTTAAGATAGGGTAAGCACGCTCTGCAAGGATGTGGCACACAAAGTAGAGGCTTAAATGGGAATTTGATAGAACAAATATTTTCTACGACTGCTAGATATACTGGCATGGGAAAAGAATTTCAAGTTTAACCTTCAAAAAGGGTCAAAATGAAGTAGGACATGGTGATTCATACCTGTAATGCCAGCACTCAAGAGGTGAGGCAAAAGGACTGTTGTAGATTCAGATCCAGCACATAGGGAGCTTGTCTCAAAAAGTGGGGGGAGGGGGCAAAGGGTAGGGTGAGTAAACTTGGAAAGTCTTCTTGACCTCTCTTGCTACACTGATCTGATCCTCATATCACCAAAGTTCATCTACATTTCCCCTCTCATCAACACCGCCAAGACTTTGTGAGCCATGAAATCCCATTGTTCACTAGGCTGGAGGCTCCACCATGGCAAGGAGCGCTCTCTTTCTCTCTCTCTCTCTCTCTCTCCTCCTCCTCCTCCTCCTCCTCCTCCCCTCCCCTCCTCTCTTCCCCTCTCCTGTCTCCTCTCTCTCCTATATATGTGTATGTGTGCTCACTCGAATGCATATGTATACCCATGTGGGTGCCGGTGCACATGTGTGTTCCCGTATGTAGAGGACAGAGGTCAACCTTGGGTTGCTTCTTCAGGAGCCCTCCACTTCGTTTTAATTTTACTTTTGTATATATGCATGTGAGTGTGAAGTATACGTATTGTATAGCATATGTGAATGTGTATGT